AATGCCCAGGAGTTAAAACGCGGTAGTCTTCCAGATTCTCGGAGACGGCGGATAACGGTCTAGAATTTAAACACGCTTCGATTTTACAGAGAAGGGTGTTCATTTCTCGTCGTACGTGAGAGTGTGAGCACTATGCAACGTTTGAGGTGCGTTTTGACGCTACGCACACCGCCCTCCCAGAGACCACCGAAATGTGGGGCGGCCGGGGAAGAAATGCCACGATTTTTTCGCAAGCGGTCGCCTCAATAAAATTTGGATCGCGGAGGGCGCGACGATGTGCATCGGCTAATTCGCGATCGGCTCCTTGAAAGGTTGTGCCATTATCGCAATACATCCCCTGGGGAAGACCTCGTCTGGACACGAACCGATGATACGCTGCGATAAAGGTTGCGGAAGTATAATCGGTCACGACTTCAAGGTGGATAGCCTTAGTAGTGAGGCATACAAACAGGGCGATGTACGCTTTATGAGACTTATGTCCGCGCCCGGGTGTACTTCGTAACAAAATAGGACCAGCATAATCGACTCCGTGTGTGAAAACGGTCGCGCCGCGCGATTTACGCGAACCGACGGAAGATCTCCCATGAGTTCATTTGGAATGGTCGCAGCCTCGCGGACACATCGCACACATTTGTGAAGGACTGCGCGGGTACAAGTGCGAGCGCGAAGAATCCAGAATTCGGAACGTAAGGATGCGAGAGTGAGTTGTGAACCGCCGTGTAGCATGCGATGATGGTGATGATCGATGATGAGGAAAGGAGAGGATGCGACCGAAGGACGATCGGTACTTCGTCGAATCTGGCAGGCGAGCGTGACGTAGACGTCCGCGGACGCGGATGAGTCCGTCGTCGCTCAGCGAAGGATTGAGAGATGAAAGCGGACTGGATTTGGACACGGATCTCTTCGCAGCGAGACAGACTAATTCAGCGGGAAACATAGCTGCCTGTATACAGCGGAGCCAGTACGCTTTGGCTGCGGCGATTTCGTCGACGCGCGAACTGCGTTCGAGTGATTGATTTCGCCGTCGCGCGAGATTCCCGAATCGAATTAGATACGAGGTCACGCGAAGCAATTTCGGCCATGATGAGAAGCGAAAACGAGATCCCATAATTCCGGAGGCGCCGGAGAATCCGTGACGTGTACGTTTCGTTTCTCCAAAAGATCGGTGGATGTGATCTCATCTTGTATGAGATTGCCGTTCGGCCAGAGGTTGGAGGCAAAGACAGCCACGGGGTCCGTGCCACCATAACGGATGTGGAGCTAGTTCTCCGGAGCAAGACCACGGGACGCGGCATCGGCGGCGTTGTCGTAAGTCGGAACATGGCGCCACGGTATGTCCGGTAAGGTCGTTTGAATGGCCGCGACGCGATTTGCTACGAACGTTCGCCAGCAAGACGGCGATTTACTTAGCCAGGCTAGCGTTATGGTGGAATCCGTCCAACAATGTATTTCGATGTTCGGCAGTTGAAGCGTCGTTCGAACGAACTGCACGAGGCGCGAAAGAAGATGTGCAGCGGCTAACTCGAGACGCGGAACGCTTAATGTTTTGAGAGGGGCGACCTTGGACTTCGCGGCGAGCAAGAAAACGTCGACCGATCCGTCGATGTTAATGTTACGGAGGTAGACTACCGCCGCATAGGCTTTCGTAGAGGCGTCTGAGAAACCGTGTAACTCCGTTTTCAAGGTATGAGAGCCGGATCGCGTCCAGCGCGCGATTTCGAGTTGATGAAGGCACGATAATTGCGAATAATACGTTCCCAGTCGGTTGCGTAATCGCCGGGATGTCGTCGTCCCAATCGCATTTTAATTGCACAATGTTTGCAGAAATATTTTTGCGGTAATCACGACGGGGTGATCCAACCGAGCGGATCAAATAGTTTGGCGATGGTCGATAAGATCTCGCGTTTCGTTTTCGAAATATGTGTCGGGAGAGAAACTTTAACCCAAAGACATCGCGACACGGGTCCCACGTGAGACCTAGCACGCTCAATCGCTCATCATCATATAGCTCCTTTGAGCAGGCAAGACCGTGATCGGACGGATCAATATCCGATAGAAGATCTGCGCAATTGCTCGCCCATTTTCTCAAGCGAAAACCGCCCTTTTCTAATAAAGCGACAAGTTGGTCGCGAGTCTGGCGCGCGAGAATTTTATCGTCGGCGCCGACACGCTGTCGTCGACGTAAAGTTGCGAAAGGAGAACCGGAAACCGCGAGCGGAAATGAGGCGCCTTCATCTTGCGCTAACTGTCGCAAACACGGAGAGCGAGGTAAGGAGCGGAAGCGGTGCCGTAGGTAACTGTGAGTAGTTGATACTCCTCGACTGGTTGTTCCGGAGACTCTCGCCACAGAATCCTCTGGTAGTCAACATCGCGTTGGTCAACTAGAATTTGCCGATACATCTTGCGATGTCGGCAGTGTAGACATAGCGATGTTGACGCCATCGCATTAGCACCGTGGCGAGATCGAGCTGGAGCTTAGGCCCGACCATCAAGTGATCGTTCAAGGATGTGCCGTCCGAGGTTCGACACGACGCGTTGAAAACGACGCGTAAGCGCGTCGTGGCACTGCTGTCTCGTACGACAGCATGATGCGGGATATAATAGCGGTGGAGTGCATTCCCACGGCGATTATCCGCTGGCGCGATGGTCATATGACCGAGTTGACGATACTCGGTAAGGAATTCGCGATAGGCGGAAGCCGTTTCCGGCTGACGAAGGGAAACGCCGTTCGAGGCGTTGAAGGCTGGCGAAGGCGACGGCGCGCGATTCGCCTAACGAGACTGCGGTGTGACCTTTAAAGGGTAACCGAACGACGTAACGCCCTTGAGGCGTGCGGTAGTGAGTGGACGAAAAATGTTCCTCACATCGAGATCTTCGGGATTTGGAAAAGATGAGAGGGGAATATCCTCAATTCCCAAAATTTACGGAGAATGGAGTCGAGAGATTCAAGGACGGTTCCATGATGCACCTGCACAGATGCGCGTGGATCAGTGGAGATGGGAGTGACGGGTCCGGAGAGGATCCAGCCAAGAGTGGTTTTTTGAGCCGTAGGCTCGTTAACGGATCCTTTTCGAATACCGTCGAGGAGGATCAGGCCATACAGGTCGGCGCCGATAATGACGTCGATCGATCGCGACTCATGAGATCTCCGTCGGCTAAACGCAATCCAGATATATGCGACCAGCGACACGCGGAATTTGTACGATTTGGCGTATATTTTGTTAAGCAGGGGAGAACAAGAGCGGTCGTCGAGTACGCAGGTTCATCGCCGAACGCAGGAGTTACGATTGACGGTAACTGCGTGATTCGATACGGATTGTTTATCGCCGATGCCGGCAATCCGAACGGCTTGCTTGACGCGCGGTAACCGTAGGCATTGGGCGATTGATTCGTGATAAGCGTGACTGCGGAACCTTGATCAATCAATGCGCGAACAGTAACTACTCGTCTTTGTGGCGAATGCACGCAAACGCGGGCAGTTGCGAGGAGAATCGCGGCCTGCGGTGACACCATGTTTGTGGAGAGATGCGTTGTGACGTCGCTATTACTCGAGTCGCTCGACGTCGTCGCGACCGCGGATTCGATGGTATCTCCTTGATTGGCGGATGTGTCAAAATGCAAGAGCGAGTGGTGTTTTTTCTGACACTGTTTGCATGTGCGCGGGCTCGTGCATTCCTTCACAACGTGCTTCGCGCTGAAGCAATTGATACACCGTCGGTTGAGACGGATTAACTCGAATCGTTCGGACGGTGGTTTTGCTAGCGAAGGTCGAGCACTGGTATAATAAATGTTTGGCTTTACAGACAGGGCACGTGACGTTCGCGGGAACGCCGGAATTGGAGGCGAGTACGTGGCGTTTCGCCGATTTATTCGATTCGGATGCTTTCTCTTTCGCATTCGCGGGAGCGATCGCGTCGAATGCGCGAATTCGAGTATCGATAAATTGCGTAAGATCTTTAAAGCGAGGATACTCGCTGGTTTCGCCAAGCTTTATCTCCCACGCCTCCCGAGTGGATTTATCGAGTTTCTGCGAAACGAGGAAGACCAATAGATCATCCCAGTGCTCGACCGGACGCCCGAGATTCTTTAACGCATGTATCGCAGCGTTGGTCTGATCACAAAGGTACCGAAGGTCTTTGGAGTTTTTACTCGGAACCGCGGGTAAATCACTAATGTTTGCAAATGCCCGTAATCAAGCGTCGCTTATTTTCGTAACGTGAAATTAAGAGGTTCCACGCGACAACGTAATTCGCGTCTGTAATCGCGAGTGGCTCAACGCCTTACTAGCTTCACCCTTTACACACGAACAAAGATAATGCAAACGATCGACATTTGACAGCGAGGTATCGTTAGCGATTAACGAGTGAATCGGTCGCGGAAATTTTCCCATTTGTCAAAGCCTCCCTCAACGTCGGTAAGTGTAGCTTGGCAAATGTGACGACCGGTGAGAGATTCGGAAGGGTTGCTTACGTCCAAGGTTGTTGACTGATGCCGCGGTCCTGGTTCGAAGGCCTCGAGAATTTCTGCCATGTAGTCGGATGTTTCGTTAAGACGTCCTCGCAGGCGAAAAACTGCTGCTCCTTGAAGTAAGGCAGCTGCTGCTGCTGGAGTATCACTGGCCAGACGAGTGATTTTCGAATGGAGTTCCTGGCACTTTGAAAAGATGACCTTCAGGTTGGCGAGGCGCTCCTTGGTAACGGCACGAGTCATCCGTGCTTGGCCAAGTTTCTGAAATTTGGCAGAACTCGTGCGACAGAGTACATCAGCTGTGTCTGATCGCTAATTATCTCCTCCACGTTCGACATGATGCCGTCAGATCGTCAATACTTGGTTCGTCTTGCCACCGATCCGGCTCGAAGGACCAAATTATGTGTGGTTTTAATCGTTATTGAACGATCGGTGGGCAAGAATATTAAGGAAGATTGACGATAGCCGGGTTGGTTTTCGAAGGCTCCCTTTAATTTTATTAATTAAATAATAATTATGGTGTCGTTCCTCTGGTCTGGTAGTCTTTCGCTCGTCCTTCTTTCAACGGGAGCGGGTTAAAATCGCTACAGCGCAAAGATCCACAAACTCGGAGGTATTCGGTGAACGCACTTTCGCAGAATACAGAGCGAAAACTGTTTCGATAGAGTTCACTGACTTGTGATCGCTTAGACGCTGAACGCAGACTTACTCGAATCGACCGTCGGATCGCAGGAACCCGCCGGTTTCGGAGAAAAAAAGGAAACACAAATCAAGCGCGGGCAATAACAATCCGTGTTTATGTATACAGTTTTTTTGGTTGAATCACTGTGCTCGCTCGCGCAGAAATAAGTCTAGGCGAGCGATAGTCGCAAAAACGCTTCCAAAACAGTTGCTGATAAATACGTAATATAAATATTTAATATAAATATTTTTTTAATATAATATTAATGTGTATAATTTTTATAATATATTTACATTATATATACATTATTTACATTACTATACATTATTTACATTATAATACATTATTTACATTATATATACATTATTTAATATTCTCATTGCAGGTAATTTAGAAAGAAAACAAATTATAGAGTCTATTAGAAAGAAAGGGAATTTCATACACAATACGGATCCTTCCTTAAATACGGGAGAATTAATTGTTTGTCGAAGGCCTGCCAAAAATAGTTGCAAAACAGTACAAGATTTTATAAGTTGCGCAAAGTGTAAAGGATGGTTCACTAAAAATAATATCAGGCATCATTTTAAAGAATGTGTAGGAGAATCCAAAGGCAGAAATGTACAAGTTTTAGGACGTGCTGTGATGGGCAGAATTCATGATGTGCAAGTGAGACAGTAAGAAAAGTTTTATTCCCAGTTTGAGGGAAGATGATGTTACACAAAGTATTAAATATGATAAATTAATAATAACATTTGCGAACAAATTATGTATCAGTACATCAATCACAAACCAACAAGATATGATACGTGCTAAACTTCGATTATTAGGAAGGTTTCTTATCGCAGTGAAAGAATATAACTCTAACATAACAGAGTTTTCTGATATATATAATCCTTCCATATATGATGATTGTCTGAAAGCAGTAAATAAAGTAGCTCATTTTGATGATATTAATAAAAATATGGTGCACCATCAGTTGCGTCAAATATTGGGACATATTTAAAACAAATTGGTAATTTGTTAATAACTGAATGCATAAAAGCTAATGATATAGAAAAGCAAAATGCTACAGAAAACTTTTTAAAATTATTACAAGAAGATTATGGTATATCTATAAACAAAACAGTAGAAGAAAATATGACACAAAATAAAAGACAGAAAAAAGTTATGCTTCCATCTATGGAAGATATAAAAAAATTACACTCATATCTAAATAACGAAAGAAAATCATTGTATGCAAAACTTCAGAAGAAATTTAAATACGAAACATGGCTAGAACTTGCAAAAGTTACACTTACATCAATGCAAGTTTTTAATAGAAGAAGAGCAGGAGAAATAGAACGGGTTACTATTGACGATTTTATTACTCGCGAAGGTATAACGAAAGAAACTCATTTAGATTTATACAAATCATTAGGCACAAAATTACAGCAGGTAAAAATTATTATTACTATTATTTATTTATAAATATTATGTATAAATATTATTTATTTACAAGTATTATAATTAAATTACGCACAATATGGTATATGATGCAAAATAATAATCTACATATAACTTTTGTATATAGGTTGCTGATAAATACGTAAGATTCTTAATTCGTGGAAAATTGGGACGTACAGTGCCTGTGATTTTAGACATGGAATTAGTACAATGTGTTGAACTAATTTTGAACCAGCGAAAGGATGCAAATGTTCCTGAAAAAAATCCGTATGTGTTTGGCATACCTAGTAGTACCAAACGCCATTTCAAATATTTAAGAGCGTGTATCCTTATGCGATATTTTTCTAAAAAATGTGATGCACAAATACCACATTCTTTAAGAGGTACTGAATTACGTAAACATATTGCTACAACATGCATTACGTTAAATTTATCTGACAATGAAGTGGATGATTTGGTGGCGAACTTTATGGGACATCACGAGAAAATTCATAAACGCCATTATCGACAGTCATATAGCAGCTGTAGAGATAGTTCGTATGACGAAATTTCTTGAAGCAGCATTAGGTGAAAATGAGCAACAGCAATCTAATAATAGTGATTCAGGTATATACACTATTTATCTTATTATATATATGCCACAAGTACTTTTTATATATTAATTTTTGTATAAAATATATTAATTATTGTATTCCTTTTTTAACTTTTCTGCATTCTTAATATATCTATTTAATTAGAAGAAAAAATCAGACAAAAGTCCGTATAAACCAAACTTATGAAATTAAGGCTAATGTGTGCCACGATCATGGATGTCTGTGTAGAAATAAAAGTAGTAATAATGAATGCAACAATGAAACGTTACGTTTGGAACCTATTAAATCAAAGTATGAATATGATATATTCATTGAAATGGATTCAAATTGAGAATACGTTTCATTATTGTGTTCATTCTCCTTTACTCAATTTTATGCATCGACGTCCGCGGTTGTAGCATATATTAGCCCTTAGTTTCAAGAATTGGTTTACACATATATATACATATATAATAATTATCATAATATTGTATTATTATTAACAGAAGAGGAAGAGATGCAAGAAACAAACAAAGATACTTCGAGTGCAGAATCGGAAAACGATGCCGAAACATGTATGATAAGTTCACGTAAGCCTTCTTTATTACGAACAGAAAGGAAATTACCGAAATTTCTTAGCGTAACAGATGGACAACAAAAATCTGTAAAAAGAAAATCGTGCATCAAAACCATACAATAGTAAATAATGACAATGATTCTGACGAAACTTATTCCCCAAAGATAAAGAAACGTCGCAGTAGTAAGTTTATTTTCTCATTTTTACATATTGTATTCAGTTTTTATAAATTTATCAAGTCAGAGTGGATTTTCTTTTAAATATTATTTAGTATTAATTTTTCATGTGACTATGTCAAAGTATATTAGTATATTAAGCTTTTATTTAAAATGCATTTTTTGATAGAATTTTAATGTACATAATAACAATATTTAATTAAAAAATAATAATGATAAATGATAAAGGTTCCACACACATTAGCTTAATTTAATTATATATTTATTTATATTATTTGTATTTTATATATTATTTTATATTATTTTATATTATTTTTTTTTTGTATTCCTATTTCTTTTTATTCTTATACTTATGACGTTATAATTTTAATATTTTTTTATTAATGAAAGTTTGTCAGTACTCTGAGAAAAATTTTAAAGTAATTTTATTCTATTAGTAATATAAATAAAAATACATTAAAATAAAATTTAAGTAAATTATTGCTTTTTATATAGAAATATTTATTCATAGATAATTAATTTATTTTGTAGCATCTCCATTTGGTATAACAAAACGAAGACGTTGGACGGAAGAAGAACGTAATACAATATTGAAAGAATTTCAAAAAGAAATTACCACTTCACAGCTGCCATCTAACAAAAAAATTTCCTGTGTAAAAGAAAAAAATAAGTGCTTATTTAATCGATCCGTTGCTCAAATTAAAACGTGGATCCATAACTATATATCTGGCAAAATTAAGCGTCATTAAATGAATAAATATTTTTTCAGAAAATATTTATTTAGTCAAATCGGAAATATTTTAATTTTTTATTCAAAATAATACGTAGATTACTTGTATTTAAGAAATTGCAAAAAATAAGTAGAATACCTAATTTTTATTATTTCAACACATAAAACTTAAAGTTAAGTTACGTTGTGAGAATTTTATAAAAAAAGAAGTTAGAGAAGTTGCACTGCGCAAAGTCATTTATTTTGATTTCTTCATATATATATATTATATGTAGAGTAGCAGTACTGTGTAGTTATTACAATTCTTTTATTGATAATATATATTCATGATTACAAGTGCAATATGTGAAATTAATTATATGACGCATTAAGCTAAAAGTTAAGTTACATTGCGAGAATTTTATAAAAAAGAAAGTTAGAGAAGTTGCACTGCGTAAAGTCATTTATTTTGATTTCTTCATATATTTATATTGTATGTAGAGTAGCAGTACTGTGTAGTTATTACAATTCTTTTATTGATAATATATATTCATATTACAAGTGCAATATGTGAAATTAATTATATGACACATTAAGCTAAAAGTTAAGTTACATTGCGAGAATTTTATAAAAAGAAAGTTAGAAAGCTGCACTGCGCAAAGCTATTTATTTTGATTTTTTCATATATTTATATTATATGTAGAGTAGCAGTACTGTGTAGTTATTACAATTCTTTTATTGATAATATATATTCATGATTACAAGTGGAATATGTGAAATTAATTATATGACACATTAAGCTAAAAGTTAAGTTACATTGCGAGAATTTTATAAAAAAGAAAGTTAGAGAAGTTGCACTGCGCAAAGTCATTTATTTTGATTTCTTCATATATTTATATTGTATGTACAGTAGCAGTACTGTGTAGTTATTACAATTCTTTTATTGATAATATATATTCATAATTACAAGTGCAATATGTGAAATTAATTATATGACACATTAAGCTAAAAGTTAAGTTACATTGCGAGAATTTTATAAAAAAGAAAGTTAGAAAAGCTGCACTGCGCAAGCTATTTATTTTGATTTTTTCACATATTTATATTATATGTAAGTAGCAGTACTGTGTAGTTATTTATTACAATTTTTATTGATAATATGTATTCATGATTACAAGTGCAATTTGTGAAATTAATTATATAACACATTAAGCTAAAAGTTAAGTTACATTGCGAGAATTTTATAAAAAAGAAGCAAAAGCTACACAAGTTTTTTATTTTGATTCTTCATATATTTATATTATATGTATAGAAGCAATACTTGTAAAGTTATTTATTTAATTCTTTTATTGATAATATGTATTCATGATTACAAGTGCAACATACTATGTACATATATGTATTAGGTTTGGTTTTTATATATATAATATACATGTATATGCTCATATGTTCATTGTTCAATTATTATTTTACTAAATATATTTCAAATTGCTTTAAACAAATATAAAAGAATACTTTTTTGTGACTATACATAGAAATATATTTTTACAATTCCTATTATCTACATATTTAATGTTTTATCCTTCTACTTTTTACATAACATTTTATTCATCAAATTGTAAAAAAAAAATAAATCAGTAAAATTAATTTTGATACTAATTATTTAAATAATTGTCCTAAAACAGACAATTATATGCTTTTTCTGATTAACTTTTAAAACAATATTTTATACAATTGCAACTTCTGTAACATTATTATTTTCCATTGATCTAATAATATATATAAACTGAGTCTGTTGCATTGAAATTTTCGTAATTTTTCAAGATTAATTTCTTGGAATATTACAAAAAGAGGGCCCTCCCGTTTCCTTAAGAGCTCCACAATATTTTTGTATCTCAAAATGTCTCAAATGTTTACTTATTCCTGTCTTTTTAATTAAAAAAATATTAAGATTAATTCTATATAGCAATGACAGATAGTTTGTAAGTAAAATATAGTGATTTTAATTAATTTATATAATTTTTTTATATATAAAGGGATTACATATATTATACTTGACAACTAGTAATATATCTTGTGAATACACATTATAAATAACACACAAGCGCAGAGAAGTAAATTGCATTAGATGTATCGTTTTCATCTAATATCTCTTCTATCAGAAATCTTTATCTTAACTACGATTTTATCTTAATATAATTATATTTTTTCTCTCTCTCTCTCTCTCTCTCTCTCTCTCTCTCTTCTTTTTTTTTATCTATTTAACTTTATAATTAAGGTTGCTCCCAGAGACACTCATCCACCGATAACAATCAAAAATAAAAATTGAACAATTTGCTCAAATAAGAAATGTGCATCTTTTATATATATAGCATAAAGAATTTAACTTTATATATATTTGTTATCCTACGTGAAAAAGAATATTATTACACTTTATACAAAGTAACCTATTTTAATTTATAATCAATATATCTTGCAAATCATTTTGAATAAAAAATTGAACACATATAGCTGTATTCACCCATGTGTTTAATTTTTTAACTCAAAGTCATTTCCGAGCTATTTAATTTACAAATTAAAATGAGTCACCCTATGTAATTATATTATGTATTATGTATGTTTTATGTATATTTTATTACAGAAAAAAATAACGGTCTTTAATATTGCAACTGATTTATTTGAGAATATATTAAATAAGAAATATATACACACTCACATGTGTCAACCGATTATATACGAAATATTAACGGTTTCATATTATTGATGCTAGAATATTGAGAAACCATTTGTACTGCTACTGCAGTAAATATGTCAGGAAAAACAGTGCTTTACCATGTCAAACCTAAATGCAGCATATTGTATTATATGTATGCAGTATATTATACATATCATAAGTAAATATACATTTCTGTAGTATTTTATTTCTTAAGAATTTTTCTTCATGTAGTTGTTATATATTTGTTACATATCTCTATAATAGCCAATTGCGTAACTTGAGCTTATTGCGGAACTTGAGTCTATTTGGCTAGAGATTATAAAGTTAGTGAAAATGAAAGTTGTAAGATTGCCAAACATTAATTTCGATCATTTAATTGTCTTAGTATTATTCTTTTAGGACATTAACTATGATTTATCAAAAGACTTCAAAACTGCTACATTATCATACAATGGCAGTTTTGGGGACAATTCTACGAATGATAATGATCCCAATATTGATATATCACTTTTGTGCAATAATAATAACATTAATGCTAATAATTCTAAGAATAACTATGAGTTTGATAATAATGTGATACTTCTTGTGATGATGATAATAACTGTCATGTAAATACTGATATTGATATTAATTTTATGAAC